GAGGGGCTGGAGAGCTGGGGGGCTGGTGTGTGTGGAGGGCACTGGGAGAGGAGGGGCCCAGGAGGTGCTGGGGGGCTGACATGTGGGGAGGCTCTGTGGGGGAGGGAGCAGGAAGAGGGGCACTGGGAAAGGATGGGGCACTGCCCCCTAGTGACCCATAGTGGAATCTACTGGGTTTTATGAGAGCTACCAGGCCCCATTCATGACCCCCTCCCTTTTGCTGCCCCTCTGGGATATGTTGCTCCTGCCCCCTCCGCTTTCATTCCCACTGCCCCCTCCCCAGAACCCCCTCCCCTCTACCCTCTTTCCCCCACTGCCCCACCATGTCCTCCCTGCTCCCCCACTCAGCCCCCTCCCACCAACCCTTTCTCCAATCTAAGCCCTGATGGTCCCTTGGCCCCAGACCCCTCCTCCCCATCCCCTCGCTGTCCCTAACCCCCAACCCATCGCAACACTGTCCCAGCCCATGACCCGTCCCCCTGCTGTCCCCAGACCTCTGAGCCATCCTCCACAATCCCCATCCCTTTCACACCTCTTTTCCCCACCCCCTGACCCCCAACCACACCTCCCACCCCACTCCCCCATCCATTGACTCCCAACCACACCTCCCACCCCAGTCCATCCTCTGAGCTTGTGGAGGCCGGGGGAGGCAGAGGATGAGGGGGACTCGCGGAGAGGGAGCCAGATGACCTGGTCAGGCTGGTTAAACCTGGCCAGCCCCCAGAGATCTTTAGCTGCTCCCCAAAGAGTTAAGAGATCAACACCGCCACCCAGTGGCCAAAGACTGCAGCTACACACCCTGCGGCTCGGTGCCTCAAAGGGGCGTTGCGGTGATTGGAATTTCACTCCGCCATGTTTTTGATCACCAGGAATTCTCCTCCAACCTGAGCTTCCTCATCACCTTATTCGTGGCCCTGGCTGTTTTCTCCCTCATCCTCATCCTGGTCTGCATCGAGAGCATCTTCCAGGAATGCACAAGGGTCTTCTCGGCCATCATCTGGGCTTGTCTCCTAGCCATGGGCTACATCTTTGTATTCACCAGCGGAGTGGTCAGTGCCTGGGACCAGGTGAGACCTAGGGGCGGCTGTACTGTATAATGGGCACTAGGGGGCAGCAGAGGGTGGGGCGGGGAAGGGGCGGCTATACTGTATAATGGGCACTAGGGGCAGCAGAGGGTGGGGGTGGGGCGGCTATACTGTATAATGGGCACTAGTGGCAGCAGAGGGTGGGGAAGGGGCTGTTATATGGAAATAATGCTCCATGCTGAGACGTGCTTGGCCTGACTCCCCTTCTAGGTCTCATTCTTCCTCTTCATCATCTTTACCGTGTATACCATGCTGCCCGTGTGCATGCGGGATGCCGTGGTCGCTGGCCTTGCCTCCTCCCTCTCCCACATCATTGTTTTGGGCGTCTACCTGTCAGCTGGGCGGGGGTCACGGGCTGAGCTGGCTGTGCAGGTGAGACCCCCCTACCTGCTGCCCCCCTGGGGTCCTTTGTTCCCCCACAGCAACACCTTCCCTCTCTGCCCTGCTGCCCCCTTGCCTTGATTCTTCACTGCCCCCTGCTGACCCTTAGCCCTGTTCCTACCCAGCCCGTGTCCTATTGATGTCCCGCATTTCCCAGAAACCCCCTTGTCTCCCGACCCCCTCCTTCTAGCTTCCCTGTCTCCCCATAATGACCCCTTTCCCTAGCTGCGTCCCATCCCCTATCCCCCCAAATTGTCCTGTAGAGGCTGCCCCCCCACCCTCATCCATCGCCTCTCCCATCCATCCACCCCCAGTTGCCCCATAGATTCCCCAATGCCATCTCCCTTTTCATGCCCCCCTCAGAGCCCCATCTCATCCTCCTCTCTACCCCCCACCCCCCACAGCTGCTGGCCAACACGGTGATCTTCATCTGTGGCAACCTGGTGGGAGCCTATCACAAGCACCTGATGGAGGTGGCTTTGCAGGAGACCTTCCAGGAGACCTTCAAACTCATCCAGTCCCGAGTCAAGCTGGAGTCTGAGAAACGGCACCAGGTGAGGAGGGGGACACCTGGATATTTGTCTCTTTGTCTCACCTTCGCATACCCACTCTGTCCTTCCATCCATCTGATTTCCACATAATCCCTCCATCCATCCATCCACCAATATGCCAGACACAGCCCTTCCATCTCTTCCCTTCTTCATCCATCCCATCTCCAGATTCGTAGATTCATACCTTGCAAGGCCAGAAGGGACCATTGTGACCATCTTGTTTGAACTTCTGTTCAACACAGAACAGAGACCTGCCCCAAAATAATTCCTAGAGCAGATCATATAGAAAAAACATCCCATCTCGATCTAAAAATGGTCACTGATGGAAGTCCCCCTTGCCCCTTGGTCAGTTGTTCCAGTGGTTAATTACTCTTACCTTTTAAAATCTACGCCTTATTTCCAGTCTGAATTTATCTAGCTTCAACATCCAGACATTGGATCATGTTAGACCTTTGACTGCTAGTCTGAAGAGCCCGTTATTAAGTGTTTGTTCCCCATGTAGGTACTGATAGACTGTAACCGTGTCACCCCTGAACCTTCTCTTTGTTAAACTCAATAGATTGAGCTCCTTGAGTCTATCACTCAACGGCAGGTTTTCCAACCTTTGAATCATTCTTGTGGCTCTTCTCTGAGGCCTCTCTGACTTATCACCATCCTTGAATGGTGGGCATCAGAACTGGACACAGGATCCCAGTAACGGTTGCACCAGGGCCAAATCCCGAGGTAAAATAACCTCTCTACTCCTACTCGAGATTCCCCTGTTTATGCATTCCAGGATTGCATTAGCTCTTTTGACTATCCACCACAACCCCTAAATCCTTCTCAGAGTCAGATCTGTGCATCCATACTTCCAGCGTCCATATACTGCCCTTCCTCCCCACCCCCATCCATGGACCCACCCACCCATAGCTTTCCTTCTGTCCATTCATACCCATACCCATCTGTCTATCTAATCTTCATACATACCCCTCCCTCCCTTGTCCAGCCCATACACATCCCTCCCGCCGTCCCTCCCCATATCCACCCACCCACGCTCCCATCCATCCCTTCCCATCCCCATGCCCATTCGTCCACCCACCCATATCTTTCTTTCTCTTTCATCCATCCATCCATCCATCCATCCATATACACACCCATCCATCCATCCATCCAACCCCATCCCCATAAACACCCATCCATCCATCCAT